GAAAAAAAAGCCACAAGGTTTCTTCAAGACGGCAGCTCAGCTGCATGCTGCAGGCGACTCTATAGGATCCCCCAGGTATTAGTAAAGTTGCAATTTGATTTTGGATTAATTCCATTTTTGCCCTCCCAAAAATTTAATAATAATTTGCACCTCAAAATATAATAAATTAGGGCAGAAGTAAATCAAAAGGCGGGAATGTGCAAGAGATAGAGAGGCAGCAAAATTAGGGCACGATCCATTTTCCCCCTTCTTGATTTCTTGTTGGAAAACCGTAAGTTCACATTTACCTCTCCTAATTCACAAATTTTAACTTCAGATTTTTCTCTGCTATTTTATAAGGGTTTTTTTTTTCTTTTCCCGCAGATCAAAGGTGAAACTCATTTAGCTATTTCTACAGTCGATCGAAGCTAGACATGGTATGGTTTTGTGCGTGTTTTTAGTGTGTGTAAATGTGTGTGTATACTGTATACATAGACGACTGCGATTTTCAATTGTTGGGAGTGACCTAGTTTTTATTAGTCTTTTTACACTCTTCAATTGTCTTGTTTGTTTCAGTCTGGCAGAAAAGAAACTGTTCTGGATTTAGCAAAATTCGTGGACAAAGGTGTTCAAGTCAAACTGACTGGTGGAAGACAAGGTTCGCCGTTGTTCGTTTATTGATAGATTTTTCGGCAATTTCATATCTATTTCTTTTTTATAGTTTGTGGGTTTCTCTTTACTTGGTCCGATTTCGTGTTTATCGCTTTATAATTTTGTTCGTTTATATTTTGTGATCTATTTTTGTGTTGCCCTCATTTAGCTAATGATACTACGGAGAAATGGGAAGTGGTGGATATGATATTTTTATGTTGAAAATTATTGTAGTGCCGTAATTTTTCTAGTTTCTTGATGTTCGAGAATATAAATTGGTTCCATCATTTGCGGTTAATACTGTAATTTTTTATTCGTCCATCTTCTATGGGTCCTTAATTGTCAATTGTCGGAATTTTCTTAACAAGAAACGGGAAGAAATTGTAGTACTAAGATTCTTAGTCTATTGCAATACTGATGCTGAACTGAAAGAGTTCGATCACTCTGTTTGGTCGTAAGCACCAATTGTTAAAACGGGCTCGTCTTTTTTATGAACCCTTACACTGACCTAATATTCAGTTTATTCTGATTATCGAAACCCATTAAACTGTTTCTCAAGATTCTACGTTCACCGGTACAATCTCTACACATGGACAATGTACATATCCAGCTTTTGACTTTCTATTCCCTCATTCTCCACCATCATCGTTTTTGTGGTCGAGAATTTATCTGGTATCTTCTTTCGGATTCCAGAAGCTTCTATTCTTCATCCAATCTCGTGAGTATTGCTTAGTAATGAATGATCACAGTAGTAAGCTACCGAAACAGACAAGGTCCACATGGAACAGAAAATTGGTTTCGATCGGGATTTAATAGTATGATTTGTTAAAAAAATCACATTCAACTGCCTTTATTTTAGGATCATGAGAATTTCAACGTCTTCTATTTTTCCTTATCCAATTTATCGACAGCGCTTCTGTGAACTTGCATTTGTTTTCATCCTTCCTCTTTTTCTTTGTTATCCTTTTCTCAATGAATTAATCTTTATGAATTGATTACATGTAATCTGAGATTCCACCGAATTCCTGATATATAAATTTGATTCGTAAGTATTCTGGTTAGTCATTCGTTGGCTCCGGTCCGGGAACACTAATGTCACTTGATGCACTATGATACTTCTTGGTTCCTTTGTCGATTTTCTTGCCGTGAATGCCTAAATCTC